ACGTGCGTGCTCGTATACGAGAATGTAATAATTAAAACATAACAAACCTTTAGAAATGGCTCTCGTGTTAGAGCCAGCGAAGCGAGTTCCATTGGTCCCAGCTGATAATCCGATGAAAGATTCTAGGACACACTCGCGAGGAATGTTTTTCAGAAGGTCCGCTAACTCTTGTTTACGATATTCACTGGTCTTCTGGCAGCTCCAGGCACAAATATTCTCTCCGAAATCACACACAACTACAAAAAGAAGAAATGGCCATTTAATTTTGTTCTACATACGTGTCGATACATTGGAAGAGGAGTTCAGAATTACACAGTACTATGTATATTTCAATAATAGATATTGTCCTAATAGAACATATTGATTCTTCTTTCAAATTATAGATACTCAATATCCGTGATAATGATTGTAATAATACATCTGAATCAATTAATTAAATCCAAACTATAAATATTTTTCGATGATGTATTAAAAAAATTCTGGTTTTAATATAACTATTTGAAAGGTAAATACCAATACATGTAAAAAATGAATATATCATTACCATCAAAGACGTCGTACATAGAATCGGGTATATTTTTTTTTATCAGATAGAGGATTGCAATTGTGTAATTTTTAAATCTAATTATTCTCTGTCAATATCAAGGGGGACGTTCAACTTGCAGTGGCTAGTGGGAGACCGAAACGTTTCGTTTTATCTTTATATTGTCTTTGTTCTTAATTCGACCTCGACAACTTCAAAAAGGTAAAGAAACCACGTGACGCTTGCAGTGTTCCCGACGCGCCGCTGGTGTTTCAGCAAACGTCATTAGAAGAGGTATCTATCCAAATATGCCTGGATACAACTTATGCTTAGAGATTCACAAAATATTTTGGCGGATTCATTTTTTTAAAAGCGTGGGAAACTTTTATTGATGGCATCGTTTTCCTCAAAATTCTCATAGATATATTTTCGCGTTTGGAACAGAGAAGAAAGGATGTAGAGTTACGTAGACAATATGTTTTCTCATCCCTTAACGTAACGAACATAACAGAATCGGCTCACTTCCGAGAGAACATGGCAAACGACACCTCCGGGAGATGTGGCTCAGGGCACCAACTGATGTAACTGCAGTCCCTCTGACCGGGAGGTCCTATGTTCGAGTTCCGAGCGTGGCAGGATTTTCGACACTAGATTGCCAGATAGGTCGAATTCAGTCGCTGTCTGGAGAAGAATTCTAGCGGCCGGCCGTTCTGCTCGGTAGTTTTCTGTGGTTTCTCCGATCAACACCAGGCGAATGCCGGAGCAGTACCCAACCAAACGGGCCACGGACCGCGTGCGATCTTTCGTACCTCTTCCTTGTCCTATCCTCTCCTCATACACACACACACACACACACTAACACGCACTACACAAGCACACATGCCGGGAGACCGGTCGGGAGCTTGGAACTTATTCCGGCTGGGGCGGTGCCTCGGTAGTGGGAGATACCTGGTTAGGGAAAATCTGGCTAGCCGTCGGTAGGTCGGCGCCGGTCATACAGCGAGGGAAAGAACATCGCCATCTCCCGAGCAATAACATGCACTACACGTACGGGAGTTAAAACCCTGGTAATTGTCGTGCAACAACAACAACAACAACAACAACAGCAGCGGACGACACCATCGCGCTGCGCCAGAAGAATGGCATCATACTCGTATTATAACCTCAGACTTTAAAGGCGCATTGACGCTTCGCTATGTTAAACGATTCGCAGATCGGGTACGCTCCGGCCTTCGGCCCAAAAGATCCTTGAAGATCTTGATTTATTTGTTTTAAAATTGTCAGAATATCTCTTTCTATCTATGAAAGAAATGAGCTTTTGTTATAATAGCATTTTGTGTGATCTTTCTTTTTAGTGATATTTTTTTGACTTTCTCGCACTTACTTCGTGAGAAGGGAAAGTATTGTAATCGTTCACCGGGAAACAGAGAATTTTCGACAAAAAAACTCTTGTTTATATATAGAGGGGACTCGCTCAAATTGCCATAACCTTTACGATTTTTGACACGTTCTTTAACTTTCCTTGTTCCGTTTATTGCATAATTTTTTTAACTGGAGGAAACATGTTAAAATCCACTGCAACATGACAGTCTACTTTTGCGTTACCGATCTGTCGTCTCTGTGGGAATGCGCGTGACTGCTTTGTAGACAAAAGAGTAAACAACCTCCCTTAGATGTACGAACTACCGGAGCAGCGAAGTCCGGTAACTTGTGTAAAATTAAGACGTCTGTAGTCTTGAAAGAAAATTATTTAGAATTTAGAAAAATCACACTTGTGAATTCACAATTGTGAAGATGGTATTATAACTTTTGACATTTTCATGAGTTTTTTAAGAGTTGAAGAGTTTAGTGAATGAAAAAGAAACTAATTAATCTATGAGGATAGCAGGAAATTGTTTAATTGACACAATTCACAATTGTGAAAATGGACAAAATCTGCAGTTCCGACGACCTTTTTTAAGCAAGTAATTTAATTGCTACAATGCTATTTTGATAACCTGAATACGTATATACTGACATTTAAGAACAAAAAACTCCTGAATTATGAATACATTATTGTTTTTTGCATTGTTTTCTTGCGTTACATATTTTATCTGTTCTTACACATTTTATCTGAAGATTTTTCACTGAAAATGCTGGCAATATGTACTTACTTCTAATATCCAAATTAATTTTATTTGCAGAAGTAACGGCTTTCTCAAAGGTGCCCCTAAAAAGACCATAATTTGCATTGCTTCGCTGTAGAGGTAAGAGAGGATAGTCAACCACTGAAGTAATCCATACGTTAGTTGCACAAGAGACAATCAACAAAACCAGTGCTGCCCATGAAGTCAGGAACGTTCCAAACACATGACCACGGCGGGTAGTAGTCATTGCGAAATTGAACAAACACTTCACAGTCTTATTGCATCTAACAATTAATATCTATGATTAACACCGTTGAACTGGATTTTACAAACTATATTTTCCTTCGACATACCACCGCGTACTGGGTTTCCTGCGACCTGTTATCTGTTCCCTCATCACACTAAACGCGACTGATAACATTTCTTATCACGGAGATATAATCCAATCCATAGAAAAACTATACAATCAGACTCCAACGTCACATACCTGTTCTGTCACGTACATGTGATTGTGTGCACATGTATTTTAATACGGGCGATTAAACAATTTCCTGCTATCCTCATAGGTTAATTAGTTTCTTTTCACTACACTCTTAAACTCTTAAAAATCTCATGAAAATGTCAAAAGTTATAATACCGAATTTGTAATGAATTTCAGGTGTTTAGATTGTCATAAGTAATCTGGATAAATTAATCATTTAAATTTGATTATTTAAAATCAATTGTACAGTTAAATGCATATTTCCCTACAAGGTAAATATGTCTCACCAATTGAAATACACTTCGGCCAATACTTTGCTAACAAGCAGCTGATAACAATAAATAATATTAATGATATCAGAGAGAAAAGGCAAAGGTATTCCCTTTACTGCGATGTGAGATTACTTCTGAAATAAGATAAAGATCAGCAGCAGCAAAAATGCCGCCAAACGAAATCACCAAAAATTGTATCCCAAAAGGTAGCATGCACACTGCTCAAGAACAAACTAGTGATGCTACAGAATAGCTCAGACTTTCCCGTATTAGTTTTCTATTTTCTTTGGTCTCGGCTTGCTACCCGAACTTGCCACATGCTCTTGCCAGCTGCCATCTATTGCCACCCAAAGTAGATTTTCTTTTTAAATTTTCTTAATTTTTCGTTTCCTAATAATAGAAGAGAAATATTATTTTATGAACATTAAAGAACGGTGAAACGTGGTCCTAAATTGTAAATTTCTTTGAAAAGTTTGCAGTTACTTTTAAGAAAATGGCACTTAAGCGCTACGAAAATTCGAAATATGAAGCTCTTTTTCCCAGAAAATTTTTGATATTTCGAAACCTTCATTTTAAATCATTTGAAGTACTTTAACTCTCCAATGCTATAGTGTTTACAAATTGCTGGAAATGTGCATATTAACGACGTCTTTAAAAAAAATAATATTTCGACTTTCCCTTATTAGTTTTCTATTTTCTTTCGTCTCGGTTAGCTTGTCACATATACTTACCTGTTGCCATCTATCACCGCCCAAAGTACATTTTTTTAATTTTCTTAATTTTTTGGTTTCTTAACCGAACGTAATAGAACAGAAAGTAAATATTATTTTATGGATATTAAAGAACAGCAAAACCTCGTCTTAAATTGAATTTTCTTTGAAACAATTTTTTAAAAACTGGCGTTTTGGCGCGACTGTAAATTAGAAATTCGAAGCTCCTTTTCACAGAAAATTTGTGAGTTTTCAATAAACTTAATTTGGTGTCATTTTAAGTACATGAACTCACAAATACAATAGTGTTTACAAATTGCTGGAAATGCGCATATCTATGGCATGAGAGATCTTTAAAAAAAATTTACATTTATGTAATTTTTGAAAAAAAACAAAATAATACACCGAAATTAACTTTACGTCATTAAAGAGTGCAATTAACGAAACCACCTTTCGAAATGTTTGAAGACAAAATTTGGAGCCGTTTTTGAGAAAATGACGTTTGAGCGTTACTGAAAATACGGAATTTTGAGCTAGTTTTCACAGAAAAGAGTAAAGTTTTCGAGAAACTACATGTGACATTGTTTTAAAGCACATGTACTCATAAATAGTCATGTGAACAAATTGCCACTAATATGAATATAAACATATGAAACAAGTTAAAAATTACATTTTTTGTAATTTTTGAAGAAACAAAACAATAGAGCATTATGGTGTTTATGTCATCTTATAGAGTCCATTTATTCCTACCAAAACTTTAAAGAAAAAATTTGGAGCCAAATTTTGAGAAAGTCTTGTTTTTGTAACTTTTTTAAATTGTACATATTGCACACAACGACAAAAATTTTGCTCGAAAACGAATTTTCAAACAAATGTACATGACTTAATGATATAACTCCCTATGAGGAACAAATTTTCTTTGAAGGAAAAATCTCTATCTTCAGTTTTGTAGTTGCAGAAAGACGCCCGAAAATTTTTGCAATTTTCAAAATTCAGTGTTAAACCTGAAAATCGGACCAATGCTACTTTTATAAGTGTATGTTACTCTATTCTTACAAGAAACTTATAGAAAAATTGGAGCCATTTTTGAGAAAATTTTGAAGATGTCTGGAGGCTTTAAGTAAAGTACCCCCAAACTATAAAGATTTTTTTTCAAAATTTCAAAGAGTCGACTCGAGCCAGATCGACACGAGTTTCTTCAATTTGGAAAAAAATCCTATGCATTGTTTAGGCGCTAGTTGTGTTCGCAGACACCGGACGGACGGACGTTTTGAACAAAACACTTTTTCAGTATCAGGGACCCCAAAACGTGCATTTCCGTCGAAATTTCGAAATCGATTTTCCGCAGCTATTCTACGTATAGTACTCCGTATATACGCTCGTATACGGGAAAGTAAAAAGTTGCTAATCCTTAAGGCCCATTCGCAATGTAAACGTAGACGTAAGCATAGCGCATAGAACCAAGAAGAAAAAGTATTGTAATAGCACGCCAGAAAACGGCGAATTTTTAGCAGAAAATCTCTTATTCCCAGGCCCCGGTAACGAAAAAGTGGTTACATCTACTTAGTAAACTTTCTCGAACACGTGTGTCGTAAAAATCCATTTTTTGTGGATTCTTAATAGCGAAAAATCGATTGAGGAAAAATCGTATGTCTGTCTGTCCGTCAACGCTAGCCCGTAATCTGTCAGCAGATTTTCTCTACAATTGATATTTCTTGATCGACTTAATAAATTCAAGGCCTTCTGGGTATGAAGCGGATATTTTTGTGGATATCTTACATAAAGCCTCAACATTTTCAAAATTTACTGCAAAATATGTCACAATTGTTTGATTAAACTTTGTTCTTGAATAGCATGAAAGAAGTTTAAAGGGGTCTCACTTGAGGTTAAAATCTCTGATTTTTCAAAAATTTCAAAAGTTAAATTTTTTCGGTGATTTCATACGACTAGAATGTTGAAGATAGAGACTTTTTCACGAATGAAATTTCTTTTTTAAGAACAGATCTTTACATGTACAATTTTTCGAAAATGTGACCAGTTTTCGCGTGAGTTTGCATGAAGTATAGGCAATTTTTAATTTAAAAAACGGCTCCAAACTTTGTCTTAAATTTTCTTCTCGGTTGTATCAAAGAATGGTAAAAGAATATGGTGCTAGATCCCTTTTCACCGAACTTTGCATTTTCGAAATTTGCAAAAAGTTAATATTTCAAAACTACAAAATTGAAGAAATATATTTGTCTGAAATGAAATTTGTTGAGAATATAAGCTCTATAAAAAAGATCATGTACATTTTTTTGATAAAGCTAGTAGATTTTGCGTAATTTATGCTCGAAATTTATGCAATTTATAAAAAATGTTTTTTCCACACTGAATGTTTTCCATGATATAGAATGGCATAGGTCTCATTTTCTTTTAACTCTCTCAATTTTCGAAAATTGCCAATTTGCGAGAAAGTATGCGCTATTGCAGAACCACTAGTTCAGTCTCGGGATTTACAATACACATTTTTCGGAAAAAAAAAAAAATCGCGGTTTTCGTTGCTTCTTAAATAACATTCTCTATTCTATGTATGTAGTATGCGTGGATGATAAAAAAGTGAGTATTGAAAAAATGTATAAATTACCAGGTAGGTAAGAATTACAATCGAAGCTATTTAAAATGCTGTTGAGCGTTAGAAAAATTAATATTAAAAAAAATCATAAATTAAGAGATAGAAAAGAATTATAATTTAAAAATAAGTATTTATAAAGACCGAAGGAGATTTAAGCATCCACTTTGAAATAAAAAATGATTTGTAAGAGAATTATATTTTCATTTATTGATGAAAAGGTAATTATAAATATGTATACAAAATTTCTTTTCTTCAAAACTTTTTTGGAAAATGTACATTTAGCTGCAGTTGTAGAATAAATAACTTCTAGCACGCAGGAAAACTTTAGTTTGAAATAAGGAGACCTTGAATCTGGAGCCCCAGATCTCTTGCCCTCTCTGGGTGCCCATACTTTCTAAATATTATTATAGGATTAATAATTATACAGCAGTGAAATCCTAATTACTTGTACACAGATGTCACAGAATTTATTCATCCCATTCTAACTTTTGGACACATACACATAATGTTTGGAAACTATAGAGAAAAGTGTGATTTTCCTCTAAATTTGATTATTCAGTATTTCCTTTATCCCTTCAGTAGCAAAGCTTGTTAGCTCACAGGCAAAACTTTAAATGTAAACAAATAAATTGATTCACCAGAACACTAATCCTTATAAAACTGATAAAAATTATTAATTTTCTGGGGTAAATCATAATTGCTTCATTGAGAGTGGATATAAACCTATCTTTGGCTCTCAACATCCTGTAAACTGCAACCACCAAACCTCACTCAAAAATAGATAAATCTTTATTTTATACAAACTTGAAATTACAGAAAAATCATTTAACCTTTTTATTATTATGACGATTGAATCGGAGGACTGAGGAGAAATAAATCCATAGACTTAAATGTTTTTCAATTGATTTAAAATTTGATGGATTTAACTATATAAAGTAAAAAATGTCCTTCGCTCTTTTGTATTACAATTGTTGCATAATAGGACACCACTATCTCTCTCTGTTATAATTGTATTAATTTATTACAACAATCCATTGCAGTAAGATATTTTTAACACATTGATATACCATCAATGTTTTGATGAGAACCCCATACTTTGATCTGTAACATTGCACTACACAAGGGGCATGGAAAGCAAATGACAACTCAGCTGGAAGCCCATATACCAAGCAGAAGCACAGAAAGATTTTGAATACAATTAATGGTTTCTTTAATGCGTATTTTTAAACATACTCAAAACTCAGACTTCATACAGCTAAAACAATGTGGAAGGAAATGTGGTTATTAAAAAGAAAGAAACAAATGCAAAACCGAGACCCATCTACTTAACATCTACATTAAAAATGTTGAGAAAAACAATCGCAGTGACCAGAGCATATTGAAAAGGTTGGGAAGATAATGCTTACCACTGAACACAAACCATTAGAAAGAAGGAAAAAAATATTGATAGAAAAGCATGGACCCCTTACCAGTGACGTGAAAATATACTAATACAAGGAATATACCATAAGGTCAATATCTACATTGGAACTTTACTGATACATTTCTGCAGTATTACTTTTCCAACTTTTTTGATTGATTCCAACTTTTCTGATTTTGATTAACAATTCCCAGTCTTAAAATTCTCTATTTTTATCATACATCACTGATTGACCTGAATCCTGCAAATGTGAGGCATAGCTTTGATGATTGGCTAACGACAGTCCATTCTTTCCCTCATTATCAAACGCGCAACTTGCAGCTTCTACTTTCATGATTAAAATCATTCAAAAATAACTAGAATAAAAAATAAGGAGATAATCATATAAAATTTAGACACTAAATATCACAATAAAATAATATCTTCCACATTTTCAAGCATATCAATTTTATTATCTGAAAACCTTGACTTAGGTTCTTCAACGAAATTAACCATTCAAACTAGTGAAAAATAAAAGTGAATGACAAACAAACAAAAATTTGCTAAAAAACAAATTATTAGTAATAATTATCCTATTTAATTAAAATGGCTATTTAGTTAACTTAGATATGAAATAGAAAGAAATCTAAACAATGACAATCTCTAAACTTAATTAGTGATGGTGTTTTGCTAAATTATTATATAGTCAGCAGGTGTTATGCTTTATTTAATGAAGAAAGGTCCAGTTCCAAGTTGCAATTTGAGGAGCCAAAAGCTTGCTTCAAAATCTTGAGAGTTCATGTTTCAATAGAGGGGAGATTTTAGTCTTTCTTTAAATCTTTTATCAACACATATTGAAATGTGTACACAAATATCATTTATCTCCTTACTGAAATAATTACCTAATCTCTATTCTTGAATATCAATGTGGTAAGGGCCAATTAATATTTGAGGACACTAAAAAGATGTGTGTTTACTGTATAGTTTTTTAAATAATTACATAACTCTAACATTAAAAAAATATTTAAATCAATTTTGCCAAATAAATGAAGATAACAAACAAAAACAGCTGGAACTACGGCTCACATGGTCCACCCCTGGATCTGCCACTGACTGTGGATGTAATCTAATAATTTATCAGAAATATCTTCCAAAACATTGAGTTTCAGGCATGTTCTTAATAATATCGATGATATAACAAAAAAAATGTACATACGATTTAATGATTTATTTGGATGCTAACATTGGCTTTTAGTATCACAACAATCTGCTGATTTATTATTTCTAACTTGAAAATGATGTACTTCCATTTAGTCTTAAAGTCTTCCATTTAGTCATCTTAGTCCAGAGAAACAAAAGGACAAAAATTGTTTTGCAAGTAGGTAAAGCAAATTTTTGAGAAAAATAAATGAGATAACAATGAAACATTATAATTTATTAATAAATATAATGCATTTAACTTTTAAGAATGTACTGAACAAAAAAATTAATATTATTCTATTATCAGTCAACAAGACTCACACAAAATGAATAATGTACATAATTAAATGTTTCCATCATAATAGTTATTCACAAGTTCTTTTCTTCTGCATATGACATCAATATTCTCACAATAGCAGATGCTGAAGACATTCCATCAAAACTTGTTTGCTCTACTTCAGAGATAATCTTTTCTAATATTTTGTACAGTCGATTTGATTCAAACTTGTCAAGCCTCTCTGTTAAAGACTTAATAACAAGATCTTTTGATTCCAAAGTATCTTTAACATGTTCAAGCACACTAGCTGATTTCTGAAGCTCCCTTACCGCTGCTGCAAGAGCATCTGATTCTTTGAGTAATTCTGAAGAATGAACATTTGACCAGCCAAAATCACAATATTGTTCTTTGTCTGGTAAAGAACACTCCGAGTACACAGTGTTGTCAGATTCTTCTATAGATACATCACAATCTGAAAACTGAGAAGTATCTGAAATGCCGGAACTCAAATGAATAAATTTGGAGGAGTTATCTTTGTTACAAACAACTGATTTCTCACAATCAATTTCATTGTCACCCTGATTATGATCCTGCCTTTCTGGTTCATTTAAGTTTAATATGTCATTGTACGTCAAAACACAATCTTCTAAAACACGTTCTGATGTTAATACATATGATAAATCTGTCTCGCTGAGTTTTCCAGTGATATTGCTTATAATAGGAGTGGTAGTTATATTAGTTTCATTACTAATACAATCCAATGACTTGTAAATGGATTCTGTTATTTTGTTTGATTCTAAAGAGTATCCATTATAATATGGTGATTCCATTTTTCCACTCAGTGAGCTATTTTTCTTGACTCTTGTTATTTTATTGTTTCTTCTACAGTATTTTCTTTTGGAGGCAGGTACAAGTTGTCGATTTGCGCCTTCTTCTTGGAATTCAGGAACTAAACAATCGTTATTCTGAACACTGGGCCCATTAGGTTGTTTATCCACTTTTATCTGCTTCTTTCTTCTGTAATTTCTTTTGCCTTTCCCTCTCAAATGACTCTTTTTTCCTTTGTATCCACAATAAACGACTTCTTTTTTCAACAAGTTAATTTTCATACGGAGTGGTGAGTTATTCACAAATGATTTTGTGGCATTATAAGTCTCACGATTCTTTGCTTCAAAATTTTTTTGTGTGATATCTTCTGCAATAGAGTTGGTTGTATCTCTGAAAATTAAATCTGAATTTTTCAAACAAAGATTATTTGTGGATAATGATGAATTTTGATCATAGTTACAGTCAGTATTCTTGATTTGCTTGCAATTTAATTTACAGTCTTTTTGATTACTTTGTTTTGAGTAACCATCTTCATCAAACAAATTATGTTTTTCAGGATCACTGTAATCTTCCTCATGACTAGAATCCTGCAACTTATTTTTTCTCTTCTTTCTAGGTCTTTTACTTTTGTTTCTCTTATTCTTCATTTCAAGTTTATTTTGTAGAGTATGAGCTGACAACATAGGGGCATCCAAAACTTCATGTGACGATATTTTTTCTTGCCTAATTAACATGTTATGATTATTTATTAAATTTGCACTACAATGTTTATTTGGGTTCTCATCTACAGGAGTAGTTATTGGTGTCTTATTTGACTTAACCTCTTGGAAATGTTCAAAAGTATCAAGCATCTCACTACAGTTTTTTGATTTTCGCCTTCTTGTTACTCTTCTTCTTTTATCACAGACATTTTTGGATTGATTTTTGCGCTTCTTCTGAATAGAATGAACTTCTGCGTATATACTCTCTGATTCTGCAGCAGATGGTTCTGAAACTTCAGGTAACGGTGCAGGTAACTCAGATAAACTTGGTAAATTATAATCACTACGATCACTTAATTTTGAATTTACCTCTGCTATTTTGCTTTCTGACACTGTGGAATCTTCGCAAATCATGCTTGCCTGCAATTCAAGGAACTCATTTGGACAATTAATGAAATCACCACACATCTGCACTGCGGTTGAGTCTTTTATTGTAAATACAGAACTACCACAAATATTTTCATTCATCTGGCTTGTAAATGAACTGTTTATCTCTGGTTCTTCATTCCATTTAAAGTCACAATCACTTACATTATGAGCAATATTTTCATGAGGTTCAAAATTATCTAAAGCTAATGAAGATATCAAGTCTGATGAATCTGTTGCACCAGTTATATTTTCCCAACTTTTATTTACATGATCTTGAAGAAACAATTCAGGATCGTTTAAAACATTCTCAAATATTTTATTTTGGTATGAATCAAACAAAGAATCACACCATTTGAAGTCTCTGTCTTTGATTTCCTCCATTTCTTGCCTTTTATCAAATTGGGGCAATTCAAATTGATCACTCTGGTGAATATTTTTGGGAAATGTTAAAATATCAAAATTATCTCTTCTATCATGAAACTCCTGCATAATTTCTGAACAGTCGATGGCTTCCTGTTTTCCTTCAATGTCAATGACGGAATATAAACGTGCATTTGAGGTTTTCTTTTCATGATTACAGATGTCATTAATAAATTCTGCTTTTCCGGTCTGGTCACTTTCAGAATTGTCCTTACTGAGAAACGCCTCCTTCGTGAACATAATCTCCGAGCAAACTTGCTGAAAACAGCGAATGGTGGACTGTAAGACACTGTTGAATGACGTCGCGGACTCGTGCGAAGATAAAAATGTTTTTAAATACTTGATTGCCACTTTAATCGTACTTTGCTTTACTTTTGGAATTCACTCTTCTCTCTCTCTCTCAGTATCTGACGATATTCTTACGCTTATCAAGTTCGATTCTAATTAATAGTAATGGGCGTCTGCGATTTGCAATTTGAAGGCTGCTAACCCTCCTTACAGATAAATTTGATCTAGATTGAAAAAACTAGCGCAACAATAGATTCCACGTCATTTAACAGGGTCAGAATGTAACTTTATAACACTTAAACCTTGCATTAGCTAAGTTATGCTTATTCGCAGCCTATCGGTCTGCATCCCGAGGGGGATTGCTGATGCTGGAAGCAAATTACGTCAGTGCACCCGTTACCGCCTTAAATTCGAAACATGTAATGCGACCAATGACAACGGCATTATGACGTAATAAGCGAAACATTTCGTAGGCCTCTTGTCAGAATCCCTTGAGCCGGTGTGTCTCCACGTGAAATCAATGACTTATGAAATTCGACATACATCATTTATAAAAATGGTATAATTATGTAAAATTCAATTTCCTTTTAATAATGATTGGCGCTAGCACAATCCGTAGAATATGGCGATTTGTTACTGCGTCGTATATTTCAATATCGCTATGGTGGTCGACTCCAGCATGGCGTATGATTGTAAAATATTTATCAAGCGAGAAAATTAACCTTTTCAAGAATAAATTTCTGTTGAATTATTTTTTTTGTGGGCTCACGAATAAAAGTAACTATGAAAAATATTTTCCTGAAAATACAAACAAGTTTATTGACCTCACTTTTGGGGAATGAGTAAGTAAAATTGCTCACTTTTTGGAATGTACATTAATAATACTATAATACGCCACATTAAACATTACAATAATTGGATTTATGTTATAAAGAGATAAGCTACTTCTATACATACATAAAAATACTTTATGGTAATATCCAGAAAGTTCGGGCTCTAATTTTTAGAAGACCTTGGATCCCAAATAATCCATGCGGCACTACTCACATTCAAGAAGAGTTCGTTGAATTACGTTAAGGGGCGGACGTCAAGGTCAACAAGGCCCTGATCGAAACCGATACTGATACCTCAAAATGACGGCAGAGAAGATAATGATGGTTAGGGAAAGAATTTTCATGTAAATACGTGTTATTAAATGAACAAGATATCTGCGTTCGATTAAATATTATAGTTGTAAGAAAAAATTATAGTTATAAGACTTTCTGAACGAATTAGAACCGTTTTAATTTTAGATTTTTTCGTATAAATTGCATATGTTTACATTTTTTATTTAATAAATACTTCGTTATATTTTAGTATATTTTACACATCAAAACAAAATTCCTTATACGAGTTCGCTAACTTTTGGTTCCTGCAATTGCCTTTCACACAACGCAAAGTAATACTGAGGTTGTATGACCACCGAACTTTCGTCGTGAATTGGCAAACGCCTCCCCCCTCTCCTTCGCTTCTTGAAAACTGCGAGATCGGAATCAAGGATGAGCGGATGTTTGGGGAGCTGAAGTCCGAACCTTAACAACGCGCTTGCTTGCTCGTATCACAGAGCCCAAGCCTCACACGTCACACACACCTATATGCACTGCACTACCACACATTTCGGAAGCTTAGAGCTTGTGCCGAATGGGACTTCCACTGGTGGGAGTTAACAAGTTGAGGAAAAATCTCGCAAGCAAACGTGTCGATCGGCACTGGATATCGCCATCCTATCACTACTACCTCTCGCGGTAACATGCTCAACACTTACGGAACTAATGACCTTAGAAGTTGACGCACCCGGAATCACTAATCAATTCATCAATGAAAAAATAGTAAATTATTTCCTTTAACGCGTTGTGTCGTAAGAATCCATGTTTTGAGGATCCGTGATACCGAAAAATCGATTGACGGCAAAACGTCCGTCCGTCCGTGTCTCTGGTCAACCCCATCGACGAAACCGTTCGACCGGTTTTCTCTAAAAGTGATATTCCTCTATTGATTTACAGAAACTCTAGGCTCTAAGAGTTTGAAACAAATATTTTTATTTTGGGGAGTACTTACATGAAACCTCAATTACATTTTCTCAAACATGGCTCCAAATTTCTTTATTAAACTTCGACCTCGGATACATATAACAGCAATATTCAATGCAGTCCTGAGAATGTCATACTTCCCCCATAAATGGAAATACGCCCATTCCCTATCCTCAAACCAGGAAAACCAAATGACGACCCAGCAAGGTATCGCCCAACCAGTCTGTTAACCTCCATGGGAAAATTACTCGAAAAATGCATCCTCACCAGACTTAATACTCACCTCATCTCAAAAAATAGAATTCCGCCTCATCAGTTTGGCTTCCAATTTCAGCTTTCTACATACCACCAAATATTACGATTGACAGAGGACATAATCGAAAGTTTCCATTACCATAAGTATACAGTAACAATATTCCTTGACATCGCAAAAGCTTTTGATACAGTATGGCACTCACAACAGACATTCAAATTCCGGATCATTGACACTCCCCGGTATCTCACGAATAGTAGAATGTTTCTTTAGATAACGTACTTTTCCTGTTCTACTTCTCGGCGCATTACAAAGCAACACCATATCCCATTCAGGAGTTCCACAGGGTATGAGCCTCTCCCCAACGCTATTCAACATCTATATAGCCGACGTACCCACCACACCATTTACATCCATTGCCACCTTTGCAGAGGACACAGCAATCTACTCCACAAACCGTGCCATAGACACAGCAATAGACGATCTACAAAATCATCTCAACTAATTTTCTGATTGGGCTCAAAAATGACATATTTGGATAAACACAAGCAAGTGTCAAGGAAAAATATTCACTTTTCGATGACCCCTTAATCCGTCCACACCCACCTATCAAAACCATCCCCGTGAACGCACGGATTCCTGCGAACGCCATGGCAAAATACTTACGAGTATTATTCGACAGATAACACACATGGATATGAATTATCATGCGCAGAATTGTATTAGCCACCAGAAGAACACATCAGCTGTATCCCTTACTTAAGAAATCATCCGCACTTAAATTACACACATCCATTCATCTCTACCAAACAATGATACTGCCTATATTATGTTATGCATCTCCAGTCTGGGCTGCAGCATCCAATACCAATATTCACAAAATCCAAACGTTCCAAAATAATTGCTTAAGAATAAACACAAAAGCACTCTGGTTTATCCCAAACTTTCAACTCCATCAATAACTCGGTATCATCCCCTGTATCCTTGGTGTCACTGTACATTTCTCCCTTCTATCCGCCAAATTCTACAACAAATTTTCTCGAATACCTTCAGCTACCCAGTTCGAACTAAGAAAACAGAGTAAACGTATTCATAGTAAACGTTTGAAAAGGAAATGACCCAGAGAATTTTTTGACCCTCCTTAAGCAGACTGGAAACGATTAGTCTTTCTGCGTAAATATAAAGTGCTTCTGATATGAAATAACCACAATTAAGAAATGTAAACTTGCTGTATAAAAAAAATCAACTACTTTATCAGTCGTTCACAGCTGCTAAGAGCCACAGACCCAGCAAGAATAATTAATTTTTTTTTAAACTTTCCGTTTTACTTTCACGCATACCGTTTACGTAGAGTATAAAAGTATTGTAATGCAAAGGAAAACTAGAGCTGCTAAAACAACACACTTCTCGCATTACTTCAAAATTTGGAAATTTCGAAAATTCAGAGAGATTAACAAAACTAAGTCCTACGTCATTCTTCTAAGCGTTCCTTGTCGTATACTTGTAAAAAAATTGAAGAAAAATATTTAAGTTGCTTTGAAAAAATGTTTTTTTATAAATAGCATTAATTTCAAGCACAAGAAATTGCAAGAAGACTCTTTTTTTTAAAAAAAAAGTATCTTTAATTTTGTAGTTTTCAAATGTTAACTTTCGAATTTTTGAAAATATAGAGTCCGACGGAAATGAGTCTAGCTCCATTTCTTTTTTACCGTCTTTTAATACATGCGAGAAGAAAATTTAAAGGAAAATTTTGGAGGCGTTTTTAAGAAAAAATGATTAAAGAAATTTAAAAATTGCCTTTATTTTATACAAAATTACACGGAACCAACTCATATTTTCGAAAAAAATTTATATTGCATTATTTCAAGTGTTTAAAGAACAGATTTCATTCAGGAAACATCACTATTTTCAATATTTAGTTGTAGGAAAACCCCGAAAAAGGTTTGAACTTTTGCAATTTCCGGAAATTTTTTTTTTTCGGGCGATTTCGACGAAATGGGGTTTCAAACAACCTCTTGCGGGCTTACCTGGATTTCAACGAAACTAGAACCTGCACTATTCTCTTAAAGGTTCTTTACGTTATATGAGAAAAAAGTTTAATCCAAAAACTTGGAGCTATTTTTTACAATATTTTTGAAAAGGTTGATGAGCTTTGAAGAACACCCGAAAATAGAAATATCCGTTTCAAACTCAGAGAGCCCGAGTTCATTTAAATCGATTGAAGAAATAAGCTAAAATGTTGAGAGAACGAAACTTACAAAAATTCAAACTACAATATTGAAGACTTATTTTTTTTATTAATAAAACATATTCTTCAAAGATAGATCATGAAATAAACTCAAGTACAATTTTTTTGAAATTATGAGTATTCCCATAGTGCATAAAATATATACAGTTTTAAAATAATTGTCTGAAAAATGGCTCCAATTTTTTTTTTAATTGTATCATCGAATGTTTCGGAGGACGGCATAAAAAGGTGCTGGTCCCATTTTCTTCGAACTCTGTATTTTCGAAGAGTTTAAAAAGTTAACATTGCAAAAGAACAATGTTAAAAATAATGATTTTGTGTTCAATGAAATTTGTTCTAGAAATTAGATTTTAAAAAGAGGGTGAAGTACAATTTTTTTAAA